GCCTCTCAGACCACCCCTCTCCCTGGCTGGGTCCCCAGGACCTTCCCGCAACCCAGAAATGGAGGGCAGCGCAGCACAGGCCCCTGGCTGTATGTGAACCGTGCCAGGGCCTCAGTGGGTGTTAAATACTATTTTAGCTGTCACCCTCAGCTGGTGGGGGTGAGGGGCAGGTGTCTCAGAGCTGGAGCTGCCCAGGGACAGGTCTTGGGACTTGGGGAAGCGGGCAGCAGGCACAGCAGCCTGCAGCGCGCCCTGCCTTACCTTTCCTGATGCTTCCAGCTGTGTTCCGGAGGGAGATGGGTCTGAGTAGGCTGGCATGAGGGATGACGTAGGCAGGAGGACCCCCTCTCCAGGGGGTGCCGGGCGGCCAGGTTCACACCAGCTGCACCCTGTGCAGAGCATGCTGAGCCCCCCACAGGGGAAGGAGGAGCAAGCGCTGGAGCCCTGGGCCCAACGGCGGACCTGCTCCAGAGGCACATGGCACCTGGTGCCTGTGCCCTTTCCTGGCACTGCCTGGCTCCCCAGCTAGCTAGTCAGCTCTTGGAGGTAGAAGCCCTATGTATCCAAAGGTGCTTGGTTCAGTGTGGACCCCGGATAACTGTCAGAAATGGTACCAGGCTATGATCAAGAGATCTACGTTCAGGCATTGTCTTTGTATAGCTGTTTAGCTTTGGACAGCTCTGGGTCTCATTCTGTTCATCTGGCCAGTGAAGGGATTTTCAAACTTCTTCAGTCATGGAGCCCTTTCTTTAAATGAAAGTCCAGTGAACCTCTAATCAGCAAGGCAGATAAAACTGGGTGTGCTTTGCCTGTCCACTCCCACCTGTCCCACCTCTGAGACCCCCAGCCCTGCAAGATCATGGTCTGATGTACTCTGGTGGATATCCCTTAACTAATTATCTGCCTCACGGATCACCTTGAGGACATTAGGCCAGGCTGCTCCTGGAAGCTGAGGGGGAGTCTTCCCCACCACTCTCCACCGCCCATCCTGCTCTTCTGGGTCTAGGAAGGCAGGCAGGATGGTGGGGGCGGCTCTTCCCAAGGGGTCGATCATTAACTGGCTTTGTCTTTGTGAACTGTCCCGGGGGGGCTTGGGTCATGGGCCAGGCTTCCGGGGGCCAAGGTGCAGGGGGTCACTAGGAGGAGGGGAAGGGCTCTTCTTGCTGAGAGCTGGGGGGCACTTTGGGTCCCTGTCTCTTTTATTTTTCCTAGAATTTCCCTGAAGGAATCTATGTTGTGGCCAATGCAGTGACAACTTGGTGACAACTGACCTGAAGAAAGGTGAAAGCAGGCACCCAGCTGTCGACATGCCCCCGCCCCCGTCATCTTTGGCATGCATGGTAGGATTTCTTTTTCTCCTTCTTCCTCTTCCTCTCCTCCTCTTTCTTCTTCTACAGGGGGATGGGATAAATCCATTTCCCTATTTCTTTCTGTTTTACTTTAAGGTGGTGGGTTTTCATTCTCTGAAAACGTGCTCTCACGTCGGGGCAGGGACAGGAGAAAGGGAAGGGAGGTAACGTGATGAGACACCTACTCTCGCTAGGCCAGGAGCTTTGCTTGTATTCCCTGTCACTCGGTATCCATAAGGGGATCAGTTCCAGGAAACCCCTCTACAAGATACCAAAATCCTCTACGCCAAGCCCCTGTGGGGATGGAAGGCAGACTGTGTCTCCCTACAACCTTGAGAGGTAGGCACTACGACTTCCATTTTATCGATGAGAAGAGAAGACTGAGGCTCAGCAAACCACAGCTCGGACAGGGCGAACCAAGGCTGAGCCCAGCCCGTCTGGCTTTTTCTATTGCAGGCTGTGCAGGCGCAGGGTGGTGCAGTAGAGCAGCGGGAGCTTCCCACAGTGAGGGTTCACCAAGCCAGTGTTTTTGTTTTGTTTTGTTTTAAGACAGAGGTTCTGGCCTCCCAAGTAAGAGGAACCAGTTCCCTACCTGCTGGAATTTGAGGGGTTCCTTGGAACCACATCTCCTCCATCCCCACTTGGTGCTGTGCCTCAGATTTCAGTATTTGTGCTGGATTTCTTTGAGCACTGTCCTCTCTCGGAGCCTTTAAGAATACACAACCCCTGGAAGAGGTGACACTTGGAGTGGTGATCTCAGCTGGAGTGTTTGAACTGGTACGGAGACTTAACCTTCAGGGATGTGACCCCATGCTTTCACCTAGGAAGGGCCTGAGGTCCAGAAGTGGGTACTGACTTGGCCAAGGTCACACCACGGGCAGCAGACTTGACTTTTCTGCTCAGTGCCGTTTCCAGGTGTTTACGTATCCGTGGCAGGCAGACAGGAAAGCTCTGAGCACCTGCTGGGGTAGGGAGGAGGCAAAGCCGGTGAAAAGATGTTTCTGCTTTCTGCCTCCGCCCAGCTGAGTGGCCCTGTGCTTGTCACAGGCTGGTGTCCTCCTCCTTTGGCCCCCAAGCAGACAGCAGCAGTGCTGGACCTACCTCTAGTGTCTGCTTGTTTGTTTAAATTCTCTGGCAGAGACATGCTGTCCCAGGGGGCGGGGAAACCTGCGTGGGGCTCACCTCGAGGGAGTGTCATTGTCCCTGTGGGCTTTGGCTGGCAAGGTTTCCGAAGGAGCCCCAATCCCCTTTCCTGCCTGGCCTCCAAGTCTCTATCAACCAGAGGAGCAGGGGGAGAACGTTGTGGGCCATTAGCATCCCCCAGACCTCCTTCCCCTGCCCGTTCTCCATCCCTGCTCCACTTGGCTGGCTAACTCTTACTCTCCCATCAAGACTCAAGTGCCACTTCTTCCAGGAAGTCTTCCTCTACTCCCAGCAATTACGTGCCCCCTTTGGAGCGCTTCTATTTTCAGTTTATTCTTTCACTTGTCTCCACATAGGAAGCCTCTTTCACACTGCTGCAGTCCCAGGGCCCAGCCCAGAACAGAGCCCATGGGCTGAGGTCAATGCTTGCTCATGGAAGAGAAGTTCCATGCTGCCTCCTGCAAAAAGCTCTTCCTTACGTCCATTCCAACCAGCTTGACTGCTCTCTCAGAACCTTCACAGCATCCGACCCTCTCTCGGGGCCTCTCTCCCATCTCACCTTCTGGGGTAACTGTGCACAACTGTGTGCAGCAACTCTGTCGGGCAGGTATTTTAACTCCTGTTTTACAGATGAGGGGAACTGCTGATCAGAGAGGTTGAGTAACTTGCCTATGGTCACACAGTTATAAAGTGACAGAGCCAGGCCCTAGCTGGTGTGGCTCAGTTGATTGGAGCATCATCCTGTGTACCGAAAGGTCACAGGTTTGATCCCCAGTCAGGGCAGATGCCAAAATTGAGGGTTCGGTCTCCTCTTGGGGAGCATATAAGAGGAAACTGATCGATGTTTCTCTCCCTCCCCCTCCCTCTTTCCCCCTCTCTAAAATCAATAAACATGTCTTCCAGTGAGGGTAAGAAAAAAGTGGCAAGCCAGGAGAGCCACTTGGGTCCTTTTAGATGCAAAGCCCTTGCGCTTTCCACTGCCCCACTTAGGTGTCCCTGCAACTCCTATAACATCAGCGCGACGCCTGGGCCCTGGGAGACCTTGGAAAAGATCCACCCATGGGAATGAAGCTTGGCTCCCGGCAGCGCTTGGTGGGGGGAGGGAATGTATCTTTAGGACCCCAGCCACCACCTGGTGCCATCACCTTCTTCCCAGAAGAGACTTCCTCCCAGACTGGGCAGGGGTGCGAACATGGGCAGCCGTGGGTAGGACGGCGGTCTGACTTTGAGGGTTCGTAAAGAGAGACGCAATGTCAGGAAGTGGACATGTGTGGGGCTGGCTGGCAGGAAGAAGCCATCTAAGGAGACAGCCTGGTGTTACAGGGTTAGACCGAGGCCCAGGAAGGAGAGGCAGAGACTTGGCTGCCGGGGCAGCGGGTATTGTGGGTAGGTGTGCTCTCCCGGATAGTGCCCCTGCCCCCTCCGCCCCCTCTTCTGACCGCTCCTCACCCCACTCTTTTCCCTTTTCCTGATTGGATTCTCAAGGGAGTTAACTTCTCTGGCTTCCTCTGCTCCTGGTTTGTTACCAGTTGGCACCATTACCTATCATTACCTGAGTCAAACCTCCAGGTCCAGTGAAAAAGAGACCCCTTTTCCTGACTTTCGCTTTGTCTCTCTGTTGCTTTGTTGCAAAGACCTAGTGAGAGACAGACACAGAGAGAGAGAGACTGACTGACCCACAGTCAGACAGGGAATTAAGAGGAACCAACCCAATTCTCTTTCCTTCAGTTCAACTGGTTCATATTTCTGCCCTTGCTGCGGATCGAATCTGTGTCCTGCCCTGTGCCGGGGGGTGGAGGAATGGAGTGAGGGAGCTTTCCCTCCATCACACAGAAACCACTTGGAGAAATGTTTAGACAACAGCAAGACTCAGAGACCCTCTCCTTACTCCAGAGGGGATCTGTCCCTTTATTCATAGGCTTGGAGGTTGACTGCCAGTGCCCACACAGGCACAGGCCGGAGCTTCCCTGAGCATCAGAGGTGACAGCACCTCAGGACAAAGTACAACTATTGTGCCTTGGGCTGATCACTACTTTCTTTGTTTGGGGCCACAGCTGGCTGCTGGCCACCTTTTATGTTCTTCTCCACCCCACTCCTGCCCCTCTCTCCCCTCCCCCCCTGGAACACCTACCCCTACCTCCTAGGCTCCTTTTGAACTGTGCAGAGCCTTATGCTGAGGCCTCCCCAGCCCCGAGTGCGGCTGAGGTTGTCTCTAGAGGGGACCAAGCGTGAGCTCTGTTTGAGCTGCTCTCTGCTCCATGCCCCATCCCACACCATGTTGTTGGGTGATCTCGGATCCCTCTGTGCCCTTGGGATTCTCTGGAGGGACAGTCTGCCCTGACATTTGCTGCCCTGAAGCCACCTACGGAGGAAGGATAAGTGAAGTTAAGTCTGTGGATTAAGCTGATGGGAAAAGAAGGTGCCACGGAGACATGATGTGGTCTTATGACTATTGATTTGTGTTTCTTGTTCTGTGTTTCTTGTCCCCATTTTTGAAGACCCAGGTGCATGGGTTTTCAGTTCGATGATAATGTGGGCATTGGCCGGGTCCGTGATGGTGTGTTATTGGGAAAGCTGGTGATAACACATGGGGGCATGGGGTCCAGAGTCAACCCCCTGCTCGGGTTGTGTCTCTACCAGGTCGTGTCTCTGAAATCAATGGTGGAGATAGGAGACTCCCCCACCCCTTCCTGGGCGTGGATACTCGGAACCCCTCAGGTCAGGCTGCAGTCCTGCTCTCCTCTTCCCTTTGGTTCCCTGGGTATAGCTCACAGAGGGAACTTCACATCGGCCATTTGTCACACACACTGCTGAATGCCACCAAGGAGGGTGGTTGGCTCAGCTTGGGGAGAGTCCTGGGGCTGTTAAGTGACGATCGATGGCCACATCTCCTTGGAGCTCCTTCATCTTTCTCCCAGCTTCAGGTCCGTCATTAAGACCTCCTCTTCAGGCCTCTCCAGGGGCCGAGGGAGGATGAGATGAGCGGGAATATGGAAGTCATGCCACCGGGAGCCTCTGTCCTGGTCTCTGCCGCTCTCAGGGTAGGGTTGAGGGAGGGAGACGCTGCCAAGTGCCCACGTCTTGTGCTCTGGGGGTGTGAGTAATGGACCAGTTTGGGCAGGGAGGAAGTCTAGCAGCCTGCCTTCCATATCCCTGGCAGGAGCTTGGAGCACAAAGCCTAGGTGAGGAGGTCAGCCTGGCAGGGGAGCCTTGAGCCAGCAAATAAATGTTTACTAAAAAGTAAACTGTAGAAATATCTTGTCCCTGCTGCTGGGAAGCCATGCCAGGTCGTGCAGACAGGACCAGAGGCATGGATGATGAAAAGTGTAGGATAGGGTTGGGGCAGGGAGCCTGCTCCTCTGCTCAGAAGGGCCTCAGGACACCAATCCTGTGGAAATGGGGTAGTAAAGGGGTAGCCTAGCACTCCCACCAAAACATTGTGCCATGTGCTGAGGTGGCGGGCTGCCTAAGTAACCTCTTTGGATCATTTTGGTCGACTTGGGGGAAGTTGCTACATTCCCATCCTCACTCAGTCCAGCTTTCATTCTCAGCCTAGGTCTCCACAGAGGCTACATCAGCCTCAGGACAGGCCCTGGCCAGATTTACATAAATAATAAGACTGCTTGGTACCTCTCTTCCCACAGGTATCAGAGTCCCCCTTTGCTCCCTGGGGGAGCCCTGGGAGCTGCTGGGTCAAAGCCCAACCAGGAATTTTTCCAGGCTGGTTCCGATATGCAAGGGTGGGGTGGGGGGGCCTTGGAAAACAGAGAAGATATGGGAGTTGGAAGAGTGCAGAGCCTTGAAGGAAGGGAGGGGAGAAGAGTGGAAGAGAGAGAAGAGAGGCAGCCAACTGGGAGAAGGCAAGGGATCCTGGGGGGTCTTGGGGTGCTGAGGACAACTTCCCAATTCTGTTCAGAAGAGAAGCTGTGAGCCTGGGTTGGAGCTGATGGAAGCCTTGGCCCTCAGCCTGGTGGGAGCTCTGGGCAGCTGGCCTACAGACGTTCCTTAGTGCTGGAGAGTAGGTTTGAATCATCACTTAGGCCCTGGCCTCCATCCGCCCCACCAGCGCCCCTGGCCTCAGTTCCCTGGCAACATCTGGGTGGGGGGAGCAGAAACAAGGGCCTCTGTCTGACCAGCTGCCTCTCCCTTTGGGCCCTGCCAGACTCCACCATGCATACGTGGTCTCCAACAGGTCCTCTTCCATCTGGGCTACTGACTAACCCCAGGACCACATGCCCTTCGTTCTCAGCCCCACAAACTTGGTGCCAGATAATTCTCCCCAGGGAAGCCTAACTGAATACTTCCCAAAGGACTCTGGTCACCCCAACCTGTTGGTAACTCTGGTACAGGCTCCAGATGGGCACATTGTCTAGGTGGATACACCAGGCCGTCTGTGCCTATCACTGGGCTCTCTGCACATGGGGATCATTCGAGTCTAAAAAAATGCCACTCTTTGAGAGGTCAGAAATGGGGGCGGTCCGGGGTAATTTTTCATCCTCATCCTGAGGCCCATTCCCTCTTGAGCCAGAGCTGGGGTGTGCAGACTGTAGTCACTAGGGGGCGCTCGGTCACCACTGGGAAGCTGGGTGAACTTGGTCGAGCAGCGTCTGCGTGAGAACGCGTGAGAGTGAGAGTGTGAGTGTGTACGTGTAGGGAGAGGAAGCTGAGAGTGTTGGAGGTGGGGTGAAGGCCAGGGGTTACCCCAGGATTCCAGTAGATCTGTGTTTCTCTATCTCTACTATTTCCTGTCCGATCCCCACGCCCCCTCCAATATTCCCAGCAAATGAGAACAGCTTTCTAGTCCTTTCCGCACATAAACCTCGCTTTCGTGTTCCCGCTCCGCAAAGCCTCGAGTGAGACTCCGGGCAAAGGGCGGGGTGGGGGGGCGGATGGGTAGTTTTCAGGCTGCGAAGCTTGGTGGGGCCTGAGCTTTCCCTTTACTGGGGTGGATGGGGGAGGGGAGGGGGCATAGGTTTCACTAGGTATCCCCAGGGTAAGGAAGCGCCTGGGGGTCGAGCCTAACTTCGAGCTGCTGGAGGCAAAGGGCTATGGCTCCGCCTCGGGGCGTGTCGGAGGCGGGGTCAGGCGGGCGGGGAGGAGCCAGACCTTTTTTTTTGGGGCGGCTGGTAGCGGTGAGGAGCGCAGAGGCTTGGGGCAGCCAGGCTGCGGGGAGGCCGCAGCGCCGGGGGCGAGTAGACCGGCAGCAGCGGCGCTTGGTCTGAAGACGCGGCGGCGAGGCAGACGCATCCGCGGAGTCACCAGTCAGGGGGTCTCCGCACTGGAATATGATTTTCATTTATCCAGGGTTTATCCTCCTTTTTTCTACAACATTTTAAAAGACCGTATTCTTTTCCGTTTTAATTTATTTTTGCTTCCTATTCCCTGCTTAAATCGGGCCGACCGTTTGGGGAGATTGCTTCTGTACTCTCCCAGTTACTCCGGATTTTGGAAAGCAGCAGAGAGAAGAAAGAGATAGCAAGAGCTCCGGAGAGAAGTCGAGGAAGAGAGAGAGAGACCGGGTCAGAGAGCGCGCGCGGGAGAGCGAGTGACGAGAGGGACAGGGGTAAAGTGAGTGACCTGCTTTTGGGGGTGACCGCCAGAGCGTGGCGTGAGCCCTCTCAGGATCCCACATCAGAGCAGCAGCGCTGACGGACAGACAGACAGACACCGCCCCCCGCCCCAGCACCCACCTCCTCCGCGGCCAGCGGCCGACGGTGGACGCGGCGGCGAGCCGCGGGCAGGAGCCGGAGGCCGCGCTCGGAGGCGAGGTGGAGGGGGTCGGGGCTCGCGGCGTTGCACTGAAACTTTTGGTCCAACTTCTGGGCTGTTCTCGCTCCGGAGGAGCCGTGGTCCGCACCGGGGCAGCCGAGCCGAGCGGAACCGGGAGAAGTACTAACGCGAGCCGGGAGGAGCCCCAGTCTGAGGAGGGGGAGGAGGAAGAGGAGAAGGAAGAGGAGAGGGGGCCGCGGTGGCGACTAGGCTCTCGGAAGCCGGGCTCATGGACGGGTGAGGCGGCTGTGTGCGCAGACAGTGCTCCAGCCGCGCGCGCGCCCCAGGCCCTGGCCCGGGCCTCGGATCCGGGAGGAAGAGGAGCTCGCCCAGGCGACGAAGAGAGCGGGCCGCCCCGCAGCCCGAGCCGGAGAGGGAGCTCGAGCCGCGCCGGCCCCGGCCGGGCCTCCGAAACCATGAACTTTCTGCTCTCTTGGGTGCATTGGAGCCTTGCCTTGCTGCTCTACCTCCATCATGCCAAGGTAAGCGGCCGTACCCGCCTAGCGCCTCGGGCAGCTGCGAGCGCCTCTCCCGGCTGGGGGCGTGCGTGCGAGCGCGCGCGTGGGGGTTCCGTGCCCCACGCGGGTCCTTGGGCACTGGGCGCGCGGCTTCCCACTCTATCCTCGTACGTGTAGGGGGAGGGGGCGCGCACTAGGTGGGAGGGCACCAGGATAGAGTCTCACCGCCCACGCGGGCCCTGCCCACCCACCAGAGTCACCGCACGTACGATCTGGGCCGACCAGCGGAGGGCGGGAGCCGCTGGAGGAGGCCGAGGGGGCTGGGCTTGCGCTGTCGCCGGCTGCTGAAGTTTGCTCCCCGCCGCTTGTCCCCGACGAACTGGAAGTCCGGGCAGCGGGGGCGGGAGCCGGAGCCCAGCGGGCAGGAGTGTGCTCGGACCTTGGACCGAAAGAGGGCTGAGAGCGTGAAGGGGGCAGGGCGCAGGCGCAAGAGGGGGCTTGCTGTCACTGCCGCCCCATCTCTTTGGCTCTCTCCACGAGTTTAGGAAAAGTTTTAGGGTGGATTGCTGCGGAGACCACCCCCCAACCTCCGCCGGGCCACCTGTGCGCCACCACCCCGGTCGGTCCCCGCTCGCGTCCCGCTCGGTGCCCGCCCTCCCCCGCCCGGCCGGGCGCGCGCGGCGCGGAGCCGATTACATCAGCCCGGGCCTGGCCGGCCGCGTGTTCTCGGAGCCGCCGCGGCCCGAGCGGGGAGTCCCGGGCTGCGAGAGGCGCCCCTCCCCCCGCCATCTCTCCGCGGGAAGGTGACCTCTCGAGGTAGCCCCAGCGGGAGGACCCGGAGAACCACCCCGTCCATTCCAGCCGTCCCGAGTCCTAACTCCCAGTGCTAGGAGGAATCTCCTGACGCCCCTTCCCCATTTCCTCCCTAGCGTGAAGACAAGCCCCGGCCCACCTCTCTCTTTATTTATTTATTTATTTATTTATTTATTTATTTATTTATTTATTTATATTTTTGCTCCTCTCTGCTGAGAAGACCCACCTAACCTCTCTCCAGCCCCAGAGTCCGGGGAAAGGATGATTTCTGTCCGAGATGCCAGTTCAGGGTGCCAGAGCCCACCAGGTGCATTGTCGAGACTCTACCTAAAGTCCCAGCTTAGTGACAGCCAGCTTCCCTCCCTTCCCCCACACTTTCGAGTGAGTTGCGCTTAAGCTTTTATGCGAGTGGGCCAAGAGAGGGTTTAAAGAGTGTCATTACCCCACTTTACACAGTTTGGAGAAACGATTTCAAATTTGCTGCTACATAATGTGGAACTAACCCTCCCTGAACCTTTGGAAGGGGCTCCTGCCAGTCTTGCAAACACATTTTGTCCTAGTGAAATTAGACGTTGGAGCAGGAGCAGGTGGTTTTTTGCAACTTTGTACTTGCCCACCCACCTTAATTTTCAAAGCCACCCCAAGGGGTCATTTTTCCACTTCTGCTGTAGACCTTCCCTCAGCCTGAGTCCGTGTGGGGAGAGGCAGAAGGAGGGAAATGGGCTGGGGTCCTTGCTGCCACCTGAGTTCCTCAGACCCTGGCACAAGGCTTCCGCTGCAGGCCTCCAGGTGGGGGTGGGCGGGGGGAGGAGTGGCCGACTGGCCACAGTGTGACCTTCAGAGGCCCCCAGAGAAGGGCACCTGGCCCCTCCCTGCACAGAACCGCACCTCCTTGTGCCCCCTGGCCTTGGAGGGGGTATGAAGTTTCTGTTCGCTTTGCTGGTTGGGGCCCAGGAGGAGTGCAGGGTATACCTTATTGGTAGAGGGAAGCCAGGGGGTGTCCTGGGATGGGTGAGGGGCTGAGGTGGAGACTCCGGGTAGCCCCCTGAGGAAGCTGCAGTTGGAGGCTATCCAGCTGGGAGTCTGGAAACTGTTATCTGACCTTGACCCTGGGGGCAAGGTTGGGGGAACTGGGGTGCATTGGGGGTGTGTGGGAAGGAAAGGGAGCCAGACAGACTGTGAGACTTCCTCTCAGTGGGTCTGCAGTTCTGTGGGTTAGCGGGCAGCTCTGCTTTTCAGGATCTCCTGGAAAGAGGGGCAGGTGGGGTGAGCAGTTGGTGAGAAATGAAGACCCCCTGGAAGGGCTGGGAGAAGCCTTTACCCAATGCTGTCAACCCCACGTGGTTGGGCTTGTTGACCTTCACAGCTCCAGGGGAGAGGAGGAATCAACTGGTGGGGGTGGGGAGGGATGGGGGAGGCTTCAGGCCTTGGTAGTGCAGGGGGCCCCCTAGGGGCTGGGCAATGTTAAGGCATAGAAGTCTTCCCGGGTTGCATCTGAGGAAGGTGCCCAGGTGAGAGGGACTTGGGGACCCCCCCAGTCTGGGAGGGTAGAGGTACCAGGGAACAAGATCAGAGTGTGGGGTTAGAGGTGTCTGAGCTGTACTCAGGCCCCAGCAAGCTTTGTGCATGGGGAGACGTGGGGCTCTACCCTCCCCCAGGGCTTCCTCCCAGGTTTTACCCTCCAGGCAACCTGTGAGTTTGTTGAATATTCCTGCAGCCTGAAGAGTTTGGATGGGGGAGGGTGGTTGGTGCCCTTCAGTCCTCTGCACCCCCTCCCTTCCCAGCAACAGCTCACCCTGGTATTTGTCACGTCAGCAGGAGAAGGTCACCATGTTGTTTTTCTGGCCCCCAGTCCTTCCTTCTTGCCCCAGTCCAAATGTGTCCTTTTTGACCTTAATACTTACCTGTGGCTTTGGACCAGGGAGTCAGGGGGGTTGAGAGGATTCACTTCTTTTAGCTCAGCTGTGGGGCAGAGGGAACCGTGGGGAAGGGGTGAGGACCTGGACATTCTGGTGTTTTCCTACTGCATTTTGAGTACCCCCCCCACACACACAATGTCTAGTCAGTATTTATCTTTTTTGGCTTTGCAATTGGAGCAGTACAGGTGGGGTGGGCAGGCTCTGTGCTTTGGGGGGCCTTGGAGAAGCCAGAGGCTTTGGGGTGGAAGGGCCGGGGGCTGGGAGGAGGAAGCAGGGTCAGGGCGGCTAGGCCTGGGTCCCCTGCACGTGCCCATGTCTCACTCTTCTGTTTTGTCCTCAGTGGTCCCAGGCTGCGCCCATGGCAGAAGGAGAGCAGAAAGCCCACCAAGGTGAGTCCCCTTGCCTCTCTGATGGGGTTCCTCGACTCCTCCTGGGGTTGGGCAGTGAGGCTCAGCTCCTTCTTTTATGGTCTGTGACAGGGATCAGGAAAGGATGAAATTAACCCTTCCTTCTGGAGGACTCTCTTTCCTGTTCAGGCCTTTACTAGGAATAGGACTTTTTCTGCTGTTCTTTCCAGTAAAGTTTTCTTTGGAGAGGGAGCTGCGAGCACAGACCAGGAAGACGAACAATGTTCAAGGGTCCCAGGTGTCCAACTGTCTCCCAGGGAGGATGGATCCTCCATGTCGCTTCCAACCCAGCCTGTCTCACCTGGGGGGGCCTTCGTGGAGGGGCTGTGGTCCTTGCTGTCCAGAGAGCTGCCTGTGCATGAGCTGGAGGTGCTGAGGGCCCAGCCCCATGGGACCCCGTCCTCCAGTTTGCGTTCCTTTGTGGGTAGAGAGAGAAAGCCCTAAGGCCTCCCTCTGTCCTCCTAGTGGAGGAGGTTTGGGTGATGCGAACTTCCTTCCTGGGCCAGCAGAGGGCCGACTGTAGCTCCAAGGCGCCCCGCCCCATCCCCCCTGCCCAAGCCCAGTCAGCCTGCCCGGCCTGCCTTTTGTTTGCCTCGTGTGGTGTAGGGAGCCTCCCATCGCTCTAGGGATGTCCAGGCTCTGTCCACTACTGAATGTAGCCTCCGCTCCGGCCTCGGAGAGAGGTGCCCGGTGCTGCTCCCCCAGCTGCCCACCTCTGAGGAGGGAAGGGCCTGGGGTCTTCCTCCAGGAGAGGTTCCCTGACCTAAATCCCTTAGGCCCAGGGTCGTGGCCAAGGGCTTGTGGTGATGATGCCCAGCCGGTTCATCCTCCTTCCTGGCCCGGGAACCCTTTTCTTGGCTCAGGGCCTGGCTTTCTGGCCACTCCAAGGCCTGTGCCACTGACAGGCCACCCGCTCCCAGTGTTCCCACCCCCTCAGCCTCCCAGTGGTCCCTGTGGCCTGGGAGAGGCAAGACAAGTGGCCTTTGTTTGTTGGGGAAAAGTTGTCTCTGAGAAATAAGGAAAACCACGGCAGGCTGACATTGGAACGTACTGCGTCCGCGCCCTGTGCAGCGGCCGGGCGGCTTCCTGTGGAGGCAGAGGCTAGGGTGCCTAGGGTGCTGGTGAAGCTGCCCCTTTCGCCTCCCCACAGGCCTTGGGGCTTCTAGGGAGCTCTTCCAGGGAATTCTCATTCAGGGTCTTTTTACCCTTCCCTGTCAGCCATCCTGTCCTGGATGGGACCTGTGGCCCTGAAGCCTGGGCTGCCTCTGTCCCCAGCCACGACAAAGTATCATGTCACAACTTCTTGATTTAGCCATCTTCTGCAATGTAGACTTGGCCTAAGAAAGGACTTCTTCAGATCCCTGGTCTTGCTTATACTCTTTTTGATGATGTTCTACCCTAGCCCTTTCCAGGGGTGGGGAAGAATTCTGTGCCCATTGCCCGGATTGGGGAAATAGAGACCTCAGGCACGGCCTGGGGCCGGCTTGGGGGCCCTCACTGTTCTTTCTGTGTTCGCACCCGTGGCCTCCCCAACCCACTTCCCCTCAGCTCTCAAACCCCTCTCCAGCCCCCTGTGGTGCACACAGCTCCCTTCTTTTGCGCCCCTGGAGTGGGGAGGGAGTGGAGGGGAGGCTCCGGCCCCTGGGGAGAGGTAGCCTTGGTGAGGCTGCAAACCTTGTGTTACCTGGGCTGAGGAATGTTGGAAATGGAAGACAAATCCCCACATTTCTGCTTCTGTTTCAGTATCTTTAGAGATCAGCCCCGCCGACTTACATAGATGTGCAGAGTCGGAGGCACAGAGAGGGAGGTACTGGCCCACGGCCACACCAAGTCATGGCTGGAGCCTGCCTCTCGCTGACTGGGTGCTGCTCTTTCCTTCTGTCTAAGGGAAACTCATTTCAGGGACAGGGTTGCTGTGTGTGTGTTGCGGGGGGGGGGGGGGGGGTGGCGGTGATAGGGAGTGGCAGGCTGGGCCACAATTTGGAGTAGTCATTCCAGAGTCCTGAGTTTATTTATTCTCAAGGGCCCGCCCCTGTGGCCCAGAATTACCCCTTCATGCTTCGATGCACCTCAGGCTCCAGCGCCAGCCTGGGAAGCTGTCTTTGCCCTGGTCTCCCTCCAGATCAGCTTCTAGATGTGCTCCGTGGCTGCAGTGGCAGCACCGTTTTTTCCATGATGCAAGCAGTTTGCCCTCTTGGGCGGGGTTATCGGCAGCTGGCAGCGCCTGCACCGAATGCCCGCCCACTGCCACCTGCTGATTCCAGGCAGCCCTGGACCTGTGCTGCTGGCCCCTGGCCCCCAGCCCGTGTCTGGGGAGGGGTCTGGCAGGTGACAAGGTGCCCTAAAGACTCCCCTCTGTTTTCACATGGCAACCACTACAGAAGGCTTTGATGTCGGAGCTGATTTTAACTCTACCACTTACTAGCCTCAAGGCCTGGGGGCAAGTTACTCAGCCTCTCAGAGCCTCTCATTGCACATTTGTAAGATGGAGGTCCCACTAGGACCTCACAGTAGAGAATCATCTGAGATGACGGCTATGGTCTTCTGGACACCATGCCCAGCTGCTTGTTCATGAAATGGTTGCTGGTAGGCTGGTCGGGTGTGGCAGTGGCTGTGGAGAGGTCGTACGGAAATGGGGAGTAGGTCGACCAAGCTGGCTGCCCCCCTTTTTAAGGGCGGCTTAGAGCTCCCGCACAGGCATACTGCTACTCAGACCACCCTCTGGCAGCAAGGTAGGCCCAGGAACTGGCGTGGCCGTCACGGCGAGGCAGGGGGATCAGATATGGCGGGCCAGCTCCTGTGGAGCCCAACAGCATCCTGCGATCTTCGGCCTAAAAACGGGCCTCCCGCAGTGTGGGTAGAACGCTTAGGGGAGGACTGCAGCCTCAGCTGGAGGGACTTTAGTTCGAATTGTGAAAGGACCTGCCCAGTAGTGGGTACCTGTCACGGAAACCCTGAGGAGTGGCCTTACAAAGCCCAGTGGAGCTAGGGGCTGGCCATCTTTTTGAGTGACATGCTGGTCTGATGTTTCATCCCCTCCCACACAGTGGTGAAGTTCATGGATGTCTACCAGCGAAGCTACTGCCGTCCAATCGAGACCCTGGTGGACATCTTCCAGGAGTACCCCGATGAGATCGAGTACATCTTCAAGCCGTCCTGTGTGCCCCTGATGCGGTGCGGGGGCTGCTGCAACGATGAGGCCCTGGAGTGTGTGCCCACAGAGGAGTTCAACATCACCATGCAGGTGGGCACCTGTGAGGAGCAGGGGCAGGAGGACACTTGAGAGGAAGAGCCAGACTTGCCTTTTCAGCTCCTGACCCTGAGTCAGCCAGGGGAGGTGTGAGGGCTCTTGTCACTTTGGGAGAAGAGATGCCTCCATTTCCCAGTCCAGGTTCCCAGCAAGCCCCAACCACCTCCTCCTCCCTGACCTTTGCCCCCTGGGTTCAAGAGGAGGGGACATCTGTGATGGGAGCCTGTCTTGCCCTCCATCCCTCTTTGGGGCTCTGTTTGGGAAACTGGGTGAGCATGGTTTGTGGGGAGTTTCAAAGCCAGGTTTTTGGTGCTGCCTGGCGACAGGGTCCTTATCAGCCTGGACAGGGTGGTGGGAGGGAGCTCTGAGACCCCAGGGTGAGGGTCTCTTGGGTTGCTACTAGGGTCAGGCCTAGGCCTAGATGGGATGAAAGGAGGGGAGGGATGGGGAATGGCATGAACCTAGGACCTGAATTCCCAGCCTGGCCAACCCTTGCAGCTGGGTCTGCCCTCGAGAGGAGCAGGGGCTCCTCGAGGTCAGCAGGGTTGGGGGAGTTGGGACGGGCCCGAGGCTCTTGTGGTAGAGCCCCTGGTCCGCCTGACTCCACCCCCCATCCCTGCTCTGCAGAACCCCTGGGTGCTGAGTGGCAGGAGCCACAGGGGTGTCCCACCTGGGTATGGCTGGCTGGGTTACTAACCTCTGTGGTACACTTTCTCTTCTAGATTATGCGGATCAGAATTCACAAAGTCCAGCACATAGGAGAGATGAGCTTTCTACAGCACAGCAAATGTGAATGCAGGTGAGGATGGGGTCTGGGTTGATTCCGTCAGCAAATGGCTGTCCGTGCTGTGCTAGGGCTCCGTGCGTCCAGTGCGTGAACCCATTTCCACTTTCCAAGTGCCTTGGGCATTTCAATTTTCCTTCAGCGTGCCTCAGTTTCCAGACCTGTAAAGCGGGTACAATAATAGTACATACCTCATACCATTGTTATGAGGATTGAGTTATATGTAAGGAGATTAAAACCGTGTACCTATCACAGATACAATGTTGTTTTTATTAATGTTAGTATTGTCACTGCCATTGCCATCTGAACCCCTCTCTGTTTTGTTCTTTTCTCTACCCACTGCAGACCAAAGAAAGACAGAGCAAGGCAAGAAAAGTAAGTGGCCACGACTTCAGTTCTTCTTCTCCTTGCCTGTTTTTCTTGGTTTGGGCTCTCGGCTTCCTCTGTCGGGGTCTGACCGCTCCGCTGGGTCAGGAAGCTGGCCTCACGAGGACCTGTGGTGGCAGCAGTGGGATGGGGCAACCCTAGTACTGTGGCTCCAGACTTAGTGACAAAACCTGGCCCGGAGCCTGGCGCTTTCTTTGGGAGAGGCGGTGCGTTCCAGGTCTCCGGGTCATCCCTGGCCGGGACTTGCGGTTTTGGTGTGTCGGGGGGGGCAGCATGAACACCGGCTCCCTGGCTTGCTGCGGCCTCCTGTCGCCCACCCACGGTGGGGAGAGGGAGTGGGTGGCAGAGAGGCCAGCTTTTGCGCGTCAGGGGAGATGGCCTCTGGCGGCTGCTGTGGTGGTGCAATTGGCTTTGGGGGCGGCTGGGGTGTTCTCCTGGTACGAGCCCTCCTGTGAGAGTGAGGCAGGCCGGAGACACTCGACCCCCTTGGCTGGGAGAAAGAACTGATTGAATTTGTTCACGGTCATTTTCGAGGTTTCCGTTGCTCAGCGTGGTGGGTCGGGTCGAGACAGGATGGGGCAGGGGCGGGGGGCAAGGTCTGGGGCAGCGAGCCTTCAGGGCAGGTGAGTAGCTCACTGGGGATGAGTCTGCAGGAAGAGACTGAGAGAAAGCATCTGTGCCCTCCCCCCACTACTCCCCCCCACCCTGTCTGCCCTGTATTCTGAGGACCTGGAAACCCCTCGGCCTCAGCCCCTTTCCTCTTCTCTGAGTCCCCAACTTCCAGGATTTGTCTGGCTACTAGAGAGAGAAGAGGGAAAGTGGGCATGTGTGTGTCAAGATCATCCTCCTTCCAGCGTTTTCTCTCAACAACAGGGAATAGCCTTGCCCCTCTTCTCAGCCCCTCCCCCCTCTTTCTTGTCACTGTGGCAGACATTCCGAGGGGCATCCTCCCGGGCCTGGCTGGTGAGGGGAGTGCTGTTTCCCTTGACAGCGCCAGGCTTCAGCCTGACGCCCCTTGGGGAGTGCGCCTGCCCACTCCCCAAGCTCCTGCTTTTCCCACGGGGGGAGTGGGGGGCTTGCCTGGGCTCAGAAGGGAGTCTGGTGAGGTGGAGTAGCAGGCTTTGACAGGCTGGGGAGAGAGCTCTCTGCCACGTGGGCCCAGGCTCCTCCTCCCCAGGCCTCCCTAACTCCCACTCCACCCTCCTGCCAGTGCGCCTGGGGCTCTGAGGACACCCAGCCCCATCTCTCAGCCCAGGTTATGGCGCAGGCGGGCCGATGCCTTTTATGTGCCAGCCCCCAGTGCAGCTGTCCCCCATCAGGACCCCTGGAGGGACCTTTTTGCTATTGCATTTGGAAATGAAGACAGAAAGCCCCCGAAGCACAGCCAGCAAACCCCCTCCCTGTCCCCATCGAATCAGGTCTCTGACCTCACCAGACTCTGGCCTACCTTTTATAACACCCCCCGACCTTCAGGGTCGCACTTATACAGGGTGGCTCGGCAAAGAGCCTGGGACCCGGCGCCACCGTGAGCATGGAGGCCTCGGGGCCTGTGCACTCCAGCCAGCTTCTGCTCCCCACCCAAAGCCTTGCCCAGGGCTGCGTTGGCCACCTCAGGGTGGCCAAAGAGAGCGGAAGGAGGCATCCGATGCTTGCAGCCCCAACCCGTGAGTGCGTGCAAGCGCCTCCCTGGAGCCTCCCCGCCTCCCCAGCATGTCCTGTGCCCTGCCTGCCCCACGGCTGCTTTTCTTCTCCCCTGCCCCCCACCCCTCTGGCTCTGTTTTTTTATTTTCCAGAAAATCAGTTCGAGGAAAGGGAAAGGGGCAAAAGAGAAAGCGCAAGAAATCCCGGTATAAATCCTGGAACTTGTACGTGGTGCCTCTGCTGTCTCGTTCCCTGGAGCCTCCCCAGAGCCCCCTGTCTCACTCCTGCTCACAGGACCTCTTAATCCTCCACGCCTCCTCGCTCCCCCTGGCTCTTCTCCTTCCCTCTGCCCCAGTGTCTCTCCCTCTCTCTCTCACTCCACTAATTGGCACCAGTGGGTAGATGTGGTGGTGGCGTTGCTGGTCCCAGGCTGGGGGCGGGTGGGTGGGCAGAGTGGGCCTGCAGGAATCAGGGAGGGGGCTCTGGCTCAGCTGGGCACTGCCTTTCTCTCACCCACTAGCCATTGGTGGTGGGCCCATGTCGGCGTGGGTGCCCGGCACTGGCGCCTGCCTACCCGCTGACCGCCACTGCTCTAGGCTTCTGTGCATGTCTGGGGGCCGAGGGTGGTGAGGAGGGCAGACGTGGTGTGAGGAATGGGCTTGAATGACATGGGGCAGCTTGTTGCTGGCTGAAGGAGCAGGTTGGGTGGGGTCGAGCACCATCTGGTGCCTCCTCTCATGGACTTGGAGCTTCTGGAGGGGATCCCCCTGTTCCGGACCAGCCCACGGGGCCCAAAAGGGGCCTCCCTGTGGGGCGGCAGCTTCCTCTGGGTTGGAGGCTGGGCCTGTGGACACTGCCTCTGCACCCAGCCTGTCGTCACACCCTATGCCAGCCCACCTGTGGTGGAGGGGCCTGGGGGAGAGCCCTCGCACAGAGGGAAGGTGGCCCCCGATTGCCGCCCCCGGCAGGTGAAGGGTCAGGTGTGCTCTCACTGGGGCAGCAGCTGCTGGGGCCCTGTGGCCGGAGCCTTGCACACGTCCCCGTGGGATGGCACCACCCTCCGGCAGCCCTCTCCTTGCACTCTCTGCCCCTCTGTGTCCGCCTCTCCCGCGGGCAGGCTTCCTCGCCAGCGCTGCCTCTTTCCGCCGAGCTCTCTGTCTTCCACTGCAGCGCTCGCCCCTTCCAGGGTGTGGAAGGGCGTGGGGCCCCACAAGCCAGGTGGGGGCCCTGCTGCGCATATGTTAGAGGGTGTTGCATGGTTTTTTTCTCTCTCTCTGCTGACGCTCTAGCTTAGATGTCTTTCCTTTTGCCTTTTTGCAGTCCCTGTGGGCCTTGCTCAGAGCGGAGAAAGCATTTGTTTGTACAAGATCCGCAGACGTGTAAATGTTCCTGCAAAAACACAGACTCACGTTGCAAGGCGAGGCAGCTTGAGTTAAACGAACGTACTTGCAGGTTGGTTCTCAGAGGGCAAGTGAGTCAGAGAGGGGCTTCACACAGAGGTGGAGAGAGAGAGAGAAAGAGAGAGAGAGAGCGAGAGCGAGCGAGCGAGAGAGAGCGGGTTCCTGAGAAGGGCCAGCTGCTTGCTTGGCTTCTAGCTGCCTGCCTGGTGACTACTACCTTCTTGGCTCTCGCAGTGGGTGGCAGGTGCTGGCCTGGCCTGACAGGGCCCCTTCAGAGGTTGCCCTTGTTGACTGAGTGGGTAGACTGGTGTGGCTTAATGTGGTGGTGTGGACGCAAGCTGAGTGTTGTGTCCCATGGTCCTGCTCATGGTGGCTGTTTGTCTTGATATTGTGATTGCTACCTTCGCTACTGTCATTGAGGACCCTTCCTGATGTGGGGGACATTGCCGACTACAAAGCACAAACACTCTGGCGGGGCCTCGCCCTCTGAAGTCTGCCTCACTAGGATTCTCACCCCTCAGTGCCTCTCCACAGGGGGCAGGGGTTGAGTCCCTCCTCATACGGGCCTCTGGAGGGCATGGGCCCTGGCTGTTGCTTTAGGGCGGGTAGGAGACTTAACATCTGGGGACAAAAGATTTCTTTAATACTCCAGTAGCTCTGGCAACAGCCCCTAAGAGCCCAGGTGTTTCAAACGCCCCAGGATGAATGGAGGGAAGGTCGATGCCTTCTTTCCTGACATTAGACTGTGAACCAGCCCCTCACACACGGGCTTGGTTTTTATGCACCTGTGTGACCCCTGCCAAGGCATCTGTTCCTCGTCCACAGTGGGGATCATGGAAGTGTCAAGTGTGTGAATGAATACATGGGCAAGTTCAGAGAGTGAAGGTCAGGAGCACAGGACTGTGACAGGTGGCTGGCCGTCTTTTGATGCCTCAACTGGCGTTTATACCAGTCTGGCCTGGGCTCAAAGGCAGGGAGCCCTCTGGGCCAGTGTAAGGGCCACCGAGGGAGATACCCCAGGCCGGGCCAGGGTGTCCCCTGGTTAGTCCTGATGCTTCATTAACAAAGTCCCTGGAGTGTGGCTACCTCTTCCCACCTGCCACGTACCTGTGGCTCGTGGGTGTTCAGGGGATGCTGGGACCGGGCCTCGGGGTCTTGCTGTGGAGCTCTGTCTGTCTTGGCGGTGTGTGAAGACGGAAGCGTGGACCGGTGTTGGTGCGGGGTCTCAGCCTAACTCCAGGAGTGGATGCGGGGCCTCCACACCCCCTGGGAGCCTGGCGGGAGATGAGGGACTCGCCGTTTGAGGGTTCTGTAGGGATTATTCTGCAGAGAGACTGTCTGGGATGGGCTGTCTGAAGTGACCTGGGAGCTCACGGAAGTGACCCCAGCTTCCCGAGACCTCCCCCAGACCCTGACTTGGCCGTATGGGGAAACTCAGTACCCCAGCTACAGGCCAGGGACCCCCATTCTCAGACTCAGAAGGGCAGGGCCTGCTCCGGCCCCCCCTCCCAGTGGGGAGGGTAAAAGAGGGTCAGCCCAGGGACAGGGACAAGACGAGAAACTTCTTGGCGTCTGCTCTGCTTCAGTGTGAGTAGCGGCGCAGCCACCAGCTGCCTTTCCCGCTCCGTGAAATAGCATATGGGAGAGAAGAGGCAGCCTGGTACCCAGGGTCTGCTGCTGCCAGTGAGCTCCAGAAAGACGAGGCCTGTAGCTGAGGCTGGGTGGGGGGTCGTGGAGAAGGGCGTAGTGTCCCCCGCCTTCCCGGGCTGCCAGGATGGGGAGGCTGCCTCCCCACCCGCAGACCCGGTCTCCCGGCCCTAACCCCCCGCCTCCGTCTCCACTCCCTGCAGATGTGACAAGCCACGGCGGTGAGCCCGGCTGGAGGAAGGAACCTCCCTCAGGGTTTCGGGAACCAGACCTCTCACCAGGAAAGATGGGTACAGAATGACTGATACAGAAACCACGCCGCTGCCACCACACCACCGTCACCACTGACAGAACAATCCTTAATCCAGAAACCTGAAATGAAGGAAGAGGAGACTGCGCAGAGCACTTTGGGTCCGGAGGGCGAGACTCCGGCGGAAGCATTCCCGGGCCGGTGACCAAGCACGGTCCCTCTTGGAACTGGATGGCCATTTCAGTTTTCTTGCTGCTAAATCACCGAGCCCGGTAGAGAGTTTTATTTCTGGGATTCCTGTAGACACGCCCACATACATATGTTTATATATATATATATATTATATATATAAATAAATATATATATTTTATATATATAAAATATATATATTCTTTTTTTTAAATTAACATTGCTAATGTTATTGGTGTCTTCACTGGATGTATTTGACTGCTGTGGACTTGAGTTGGGAGGAGAATGTTCCCATCCGGATTCCGACGAGGAAGAAGACGGGAGGACAGACTCTGGCGTGATCTTTTCATCCCTCTTAGGGAAGCCAGTGTCCCCTCCCTTGCCTGGGAACGTGCAAGGCCAGGGCATGGGGGCAAATTTGGCCTGCTTTTGGGAACATCGACAAACCCAGCCCTGGTTCTGAGCCTCTACCCCAAGTCAAACGGACAGAAAGACAGACGACAGGTACGGGGACGAGGACGCTGGCTCTGACCGGGAGTTTGGAGAGCCTCAGGACCCTGCTGAGCTTCGGGGGTCCCTTTCATGTGCTGCACGGGCAACTTACCCCAGGGGCACTGCCTGGAAGACTCAGGAGCCTGGGCGGCCTTCACCGACTCTCCCCGGCCTCTGAGATGCCCGGGCGGCCGCTGACGGATGCCCTGGTGGAGAGCAGAGAGACACTGGTGGAAGAAGAGCAGCCCGATGAGGCTCGCCGTCTGTGGGAGGGGCCTCTCGCCTTGGCCGTTTCCCTGCTCCCCTTGCTGGGTGCAGCCCAGGGGGCCTGAAGTCCTCAGACCATTGAAACCACTAGTTCTGTCCCCCAGGAGGCCTGGCTCTCTGTGTGTGTGAGTGGTGAACCCTCCTCTGTCCCCCCATCCGACCCTTCCGCGGCCAGAGAGACAGGGCGGGATCCATGTGCCCACCATGGAGGCAGAGAAAAGAGAAAGTGTTTTATATACGGTACTTATTTAATATCTCTTTTTAATTAGAAATTAAAACAGTTAATTTAATTAAAGAGTAGGGTTTTTTCAGTATTCTTGGTTAATATTTAATTTGAACTATTTATGAGATATATCTCTCTCGCTCTCTTGCTCTCTCTTATTTGTACTGGTCTTTGTGTAGGAAATTGATGTTTCCAGTCTCTCGTCCCTGATCGGTGACAGTCACTAGCTTGTCCTGAACAGATATTTAATTTTGCTAACGCTCAGCTCCGCCCTCCCCTTTCTTGCCCCCTGGCTCCCCACCACACATTCCTTTGAAATAAGGTTTCAATATACATCTACATACTATATATATATTTGGCGACTTGTGTTTGTATATATATATATGTTTATGTATATATGTGATTCTGATAAAATAGACATTGCTATTCTGTTTTTTATATGTAAAAACAAAACAAGGAAAAAATAGAGAATTCTACATACTAAATCTCTCTCCTTTTTTAATTTTAATATTTGTTATCATTTATTTATTGGTGCTACTGTTTATCCATAATAATTGTGGGGGAAAAGATATTAACATCACATCTTTGTCCCTAGTGCAGTTTTTCGAGATATTCCGTAGTACATATTTATTTTTAAACAGCAACAAAGAAATACAGATATATCTTTAAAAAAGCATTTTGTATTAAAGAATTTAATTCTGATCTCAAAGCTCCTCCTGGTTTCTCCTTCTCCATTGAATCTTTGTTCCAGACTTCCTCCTGCCCCCTGTCCCTCCTTCCTTGGGGGACATGGCATTTATTTTAGGCCCTGGGGAAGGGATCCCAGGTGTGTGTATAACGTACGGCATAACCTACCTCACTGTGCGGGGGGCCACAGTCCTTCCGTGTGGCTGGGCCGTTCCTGGGGAACCTGTCCATCCTCTGCCGTGGTACAGGGGGGCGTGGGGCACTCTGGGAACAGGGGCGGTGGGGGATCCGTAGACTGGAGCCTGGGGCTCCGCAGTGTGTCGTGCTGCCTCAGGAATCACGCGGTCCTGGCCCTGTACCTTGGTCGATGAAGGAACTGGCGAAGTGTCTGAGCCAGGAAAGGGGAGGGGCTGGGTTTGGCAGTGGGGCCTTGTCGGCTGCAACGGGCTGGGATTGAGAAGGGGGCACTCGTGGGGGCCCGGACTCCAATATGTACTTCAGTTTTATTCAGTGAGCGCTGGAGTTCCTCGAGCCCCTGGAAGGCAGACCCACAGCTCTGGTTGCCCCTGAGGGGTCTTTTCTCCTGTGGTCCCGGGAGAGGGAGGAGCCGTCTGGGTCTTGGGAATTTCTGAGCAGTGCTTCCAAACCCATTTCTTTTCTGTTGGGCCAGCCATCATGCTAGGGCAAGGGATGCTGTGAGGACTAAGTTCCAACTCTCACTGACCTGGTGAGGGGACACAGAGCTGTAAATCCATGAATAGAAAAATACATAAAATGTGACTGGGGCATCAGGTCCAGCTTGGGGGTGGGGGATGTATGAGGGGTGGCAGAGTCTGTGGATCTTCTCATGACATTACCTCTAGGCTGGCACTTAAAGAAGTCAAAGAAGACAGGACAGGGAGGGGAGGGTGAAAGGGTTGAAGCGGACCTACTGGGTGCAAGGGATGGCGTGAGCAAAGGCTTGGCAGAGAGCGGGCGAGGGGTAGAGGCCGGATTGGTGGGGAGCCTGCAGTGCTGCCGCCATGCCGCAGCCTACAGCCTGAGCAGCAGCGGAGTGGTTCTGAGCAGGGGACACCCCAGGAGGGCGGCAGGCCGGGAGGCCAGAGATTGTTGCAGTCCTTGGGGAGATGCCGAGGGTGGCAGCGGCAGTGATGACTTCCGGGACTGCTGGGGAGGGCGCCCTCCGCCTCTCCTGACTAGGGGGTGAGGAAGGCTGGAGGCAAGGTCCCTGCCTGCACTGGAGCTTTTGGTCAAGTAAGTGCTCCTTTCCCAGCTCTCTCCACCTGCTGGTTCTTGCACTGGGTAACGCTGAGTCCACACACCTGCCCTCTGAGGTGGCGCTGTCATCATCCTGAGGAGATATTTGCCTGGGCCTCTCAACGAGCTACCCAATTGTCCCCTTGCCTCCCTTCAGTTGGTTGATTCTCACACAACAGCCAAAGCCAACCTGTGAATAGCGGCTCAGGCGGGTCGCTGTTTGGCTCAAAACCCTGCAGAGACTCTGTTTTACTCAGAGAAAAAGCCCAAGTCTGTACAGTGGCCTTCAAAGGCCTTGCTCCATCCAGACTACCTTTACCTCCCTGACGCAGGGACTTCTGACCCCCCCAGGTCCCTCGGCTGCAGCCACACAGGCTTCCCAGTGCCTCACACCGCAGGCAGGCCCCTGCCTCAGGGCCTTTGCACTGGCCACTCCCTTTTCCTGGAGCTCTCTTCTCCTAGATGTGACATGCGTACCTTCGAGTCTTGTCACCTCAGTGAGGGCACCTTAACTGCTGCATTCACAGTTGACACCCTTTCTTCACTCTGATCCTCCTCTTTACCACCCCTTTGTTCCCACAGCATACGAAACCTTGTAACATGTTCTAGAACAGAGTTGTCCAATAGAACTGTAACATGAGCTGTGCATGAAACCTCACATTTTCTAGGAACCAGATTTTAAAAGGTAAAAAGATAGAATTGATCAGAATAATATGTTTTACCTGTTATTCTAACATTATCTCCAGAATATCTAAAGTGTCACTCCAATATCTAATCAATATAAACACCTTCGAATCTGTTGTGCATTTTGCTCTGATCACACACCTCAGCTGGGAGCAGCCACATTTCTGGTGCTCAGTGTACGCACGTGACCCTGGCCCCGATTTTGGGTGCCGCAGCTGCACGACTTAGTCACCGTGGGGTCTTCGCCCTTCCACCTCACCACTAGGATGCAATCAACTCGAGGGCAGAGATTGGTGTCTCTGCTGTTCATTGTTTCGTCTTCAGCTCCTAGAACAGTGCCTGGAACCTAGTACACACTCAATAAACACTTTTTAAAACTGAGCCCTGATAACTGAGGGTTTCGCCCCAAGACTGTGGACGTGGATGAGGACTGGCACTGGATAGAGTGGCTGGTGGGGGCGGGGTTGTGACAGAAGAGATTCTGGGGCTTTCAGAAAGGTGGGGATTCGAGTGGGCCTGAGGAAGGGGAAGGGGACTCGGCATTGGTGGTATGAGGGACAGAGGCCTCTTCATCAGTCCAGGCACTGTCTCCTCTTTCAGCAACCCTGGAGTTGGGGCTCATTATTTCGCTTGGCAGAGGTGAAGCGGGAGGCTCCGAGAGGGTAAATAACCTGCCTGAACGTTTACGTACAGCCAGTCAATGGCCAAACCAGAATTTAAACCAGCTTTCCTGACTCCGATTCTAGTGCTCTTTCCACCACACCACAGCTGCCCCAGGCGAGGGCAGAGCATCAACAAATAAAAATGAGTCGTCTAGACTCAGTACAAACAGGCAGAAGGGGAGCAGGGGGAGGATGTGGTGGTGGCCAAACCCAGGGCTGAAATCCAGACTTCCTCAAGTGTGGTAAGGCAAGGCAAGGGAAGGCAAGAGATGTCTCCAGGGGCTGGGGCTTGTCAGTGGAAAATCCGAAACCCAAGTACGAAAGAGAGATTGCAACATGCAGCCTCGGAAGAGAGAAATAATCTTTAAATAGATTGTGGAGAAAAGAAGGATGAAATGAACAGGCCACTTCCCCCGATTGTATAAGACCTGCTCACATACCCCCTGCAGCTTGGAAAAGACCCGCTCAAGGCCCAGTGCATCTGCTCCCTGTAGTAGGTCCTGCGGAGTTGTCCCGGTTCATTCATCTCCCCGCTGTGGGACTCGCATCCTCCCCTCTGGTCTGATCACCGTTTTCCCTGGAGATCCACAGTGCTCCTTCTCAGCTCCACACTGCCCACCCTGAGTCCCTTCCCGTCTTCCTAAGGAGTGATCTGCTCTGGTCATAGCCCCTAAGGTCTTTGGGGCACTTGCTTCCCCAAAGAAGCTGCCAGTCTTCTCTTCTCCTTCCTGCAAGGGGGTTGGCTGGATCCACACAGACCCAGGTGACTGGGGGTCTGTTCCGGTGTTAGGACCATTGCGGTGGCCTGCGTGCAAACAGGGCTGCCAACAGTCCTCTGCGCCCCTGCGCCTGCATGCCATTCATCCCATCAGACAGAGTCTACTTTTTGTCCTTTGACTCTGAGCTGGCCTTATGACTCCCTTTGACTAAGAGGATGTGGCAGAAGAGATTCTGGAGCTTTCAGGTATAGACTTTAAGGGACCTGGCAGTTTCCATGTTCGCCCTCTTGGAAGGCAGCTGCCATGCCTTAAGGAAGTCCAACTACCCTGCTGGAGAAAGAGGCCAGGTAGAGACAGAGAGAGAGGCTCCTGCAGAAAGAGCCCCCAGCTGCTCCACCCAGCCCAAGCCGAGTCACCAGACACGTGAGTGAGGTCATTTTGGATTCTCCAGACCCAGGTGAGCCGCTCCAGCCAAACACACAGAGAGAAGCCATCCCCTGCCCAAGCGTAGAGAGTTGTGAGCACATATATGGGCTGTTGTTGTTTCAAGCTATAAGTTTTGGGCTGGTTGTAACACAACAATCATAACTGAGCCATCAAACTAAGCAGTCACTTTCTTGGGGTTAGGACCTTTGGCCCTTCCCATTCATAAGGTTTTACTGGTCTACATGATGCTTTTACTGGGTAAAGGAAGGTTCAAGGATGGCAGAACATATTTATAAAAGAGCCAGAGTCCAGGGATCTGCCCCGATGGGAAGACGCAGGGCAAGGACCAAGGCAGGACAAAATATTGTCCAAATTTCTAGAGTAAGAAGAGTAATTCAGTTTTATTGAAGTCTCACCAAGAGAAAGTAAGCCTTACATGAGAGAGAGAGGCTAGATGGTGAGAAGAACTGGCGGAGAAGCACAAAGGATTTGGAGGGAAAGACTATAGACTCTTTTTCACCTGTTCCCTCTCTTCCTCCCTCCCTCCCTCCCTCCGATCCTGCAGCATTTATGGGAGATCAGCCATATGTGCCATGTCCTAGTACAGAACGCTCTCTGTACAGAATGTGACGGGGGGGTGGCTTTAGCCTGTTCCAGCTGAGAGGCCAGGCATGGCCCAGCCGACCCTTGTGAGGCCCCCCCAGGTTGGCTTCAGAGTGTTTGGAAGGGAGATTTCAGCTACATCCACAGAATGTCATCCATCAGGACACAGGGAAGGGGGAAGGGCGGGGAGGAATTAGTAAATATTTACAATCTGCCTGGAAAGGGAAAAATGCAAGGCAAACATAAAGCCTGGATGGGACGAAGGTGATACAGAAAGAGAAAGAGCGAGTCAGAGGAAAAGAGCCCACTGGGCAATGGTGCCCTCGGAAACGAGGCTGGGCCTGGATCTCCTCAGGACGGGAGGTCTCCACAGGCTGAGATTTGAAACTAATTTTATAAGATTGCATTTGCCTTTGGGGATGCTGGTCTGTTCCTGAAGGGAGTATAGGTGCTAGCCTCCGGGAGCTCCGAGTCTGAGGGGCTGACCTGGTCTTTGCCCTCACAGAGTTTCCAGTCTGTGGGAGGAGACAGACACCTGCCATCAGAAGTTTGCTTGATTCAGATGAAACCTGATCATTTGGCTATAGTAGATGTTGGAATCACTGGACATTGGTCGTGATGAGCCCTTTCGGGACCTGCAACCCCACACTTCCCTCTTTTCTCA